ATTATTTTATACTTTCCTTAACACTGGGACACTTACAGACTTGGCTGGGAAACCCTCCCATTCCCAGGATTCCCTCATTATGAGCAAGTACTCAGCAGGTCTAAGAATCACAGGAATACAGTTTAATTCAGACTGGACTACAAGATACCAAAAAGGTTACAGCTACCAAAGAAGCCTGGCATTTCAAAAGCAGTCCTTCCTATCACTGAATACCCAGCTAAGAATGAACTACAAGGTTTCTATTTGAGAGAAGTGCATAGAACACAGCACCCCAACTTGTTCTGATGGCTGACATTTAGTTTAAAGAGATCCTATCATGAAATTGGGAAAACACCAAGCCTCTTCCAGCAGCTTTTTCTTAGAGACTTCAATTGACCTTTGCTGCCCTGCAATCACTGAGGAAACTACTCTTACTGAAACCAGCTAGCATTTTCCCTTTTTACAAAATCCTTACTGTGGCTTCACTTCAACAAAATAAAACCTGAAATTGATATACTGGAAATTTCAGATGAATGAAACCTTGCAGAAAGTCTGAATCCAAGGGCACAGGTAGCACACAGCCAATGCCCTGCTAATAGCTGCCAATACATTCTCCTTTAAGACTCAGATTTAAAATGTGTCACATTTGCTTAGGTCCTGCCTTTACAGAAAGAGAGTTAAGTTTCACGAAATCTGAGAGCATAATAAAAACTTGCTTATTTTATTTATTTATTTATTTATTTATTTATTTATTTATTTATTTATTTATTGGTACTGGGGATTGAACTCAGGTCTTTGTGCTTGTGCAGCAGGCGGCAAAACCACTGAGCTAAACCCCCAGCCCAAACTTGCTTATTTTAACAACGGAAAACACAAGTCTCTCTGGAAAGGTGCATGCTTTGAATGAGGAAAGACCCTATTCCTTTAAGAGATAATGCTTAAATTTTTATGAAAATTAAACAAAATATATTTTTTTTGATCCCTAAACAGTGTTCAAAATACAATGTAATCTCTTTTTTAAATTACTCAGAGCCAGCACCCAGGAATCAGCCCCTGGGCCCTGCCGCACCCTGGCAGGCAGCTGGCCCAGTACCTCATTTATCTGGTGCAAGGGAGAGACTCCTGTTCCAGATTAGCAGATTTCCACCAACTTGAAAATGACCCAGTTTGTAAACAGAACAAGCAGACATTTAACAGTAGCTCCTGTTGAGTCTGTAGCTCACAACAACATAAAACAAAAGTATAAAATGAATTAAAGATGTACAGTACACAAGTATGCATGGGCCTGAAAACAGACTCAAACATCTTAGTTATGTGACTTTAGAGAAATTAATCTCAGTAATTCTGGGCACCAGGTTTAAAAAACAAAAATCAATATACTAGACAAATTAAACACACACTATGTCTTCCTCATTCTCAAGGAAACAATGCTAAAAGGGACACGCACACGTATCTAAACACCGAAAGATCACAAAGGGATGGATATAATCACAAAGCTCGTTCTCAAAGAAGTTCCAAATCCAGAGAAACACCGGGAGTCTACATCTTCTTTATTACATGGTCAGTCTCCTTTCCATAAGGCTACCATTGTAGGAAATGTTCATAAACAAGTTTTTTAGTAATTCACCTCAAAGCACAGAAAGAGGTATTACCAAATATTTAAAGGTTTAATGTTTTGTAAAATATTTTTGATCAATATAAGACTGCTAATAATTCCATTGAAGCAATAAGAGGGTACTATAAGATAAACATTTCTTCTTTTAAAAAGGAGATCTTCCGGTTACCAAGATGCATTCATCTCCACTTCATACAAAGGAACAAAAAGGTATAAACAAACGATACAGAAAACAGTAAGACATATCATGGCAAAGCTGGCGTGCATGATAACCGGGTAGAACAGTAGAAACCAAGGGCAAGGAACGAAAAGCTGGTGTGTGCAGAGGCCACGCCCCCTGCCAAGAGCTGAAGGCAATTTGGAGAGGAGAGGAGGTGGGTTGGAGGGACAAAGAGAGGACAGAGGACAGCGCCCATGGAAGCAGCCAGACAAGGACAGGCACTTCGTCCCCGCAAGCCAGCAGCAGAGCGGCCCTGGAGGTGGAAACACTGCTCAGTGCGGAGGACAGTCACTGAGTAAGTCCACACGTGGAGTGTCAGAGCCCAAACTGTCTCTACACTCTGCTCCAGAAGACGACAGCAAATGTCTTACCCCACAGCCACGGGCGGCAGGGCTCTTCTACAGAAAAATGGACGATTCCTGAAGAAACCTATAAAACCGGGCCCTCGGGCATGCCCAAAGAGCCAACTCACTTGGGTTGTCCATTAATGAAGCTCACCAAACCCAAACTCTGGGCATTCAGGCTGCCAGTCAACTCATGAGTACCTTACTACCAAATATGAACAACGAGGATTACCACTCACTTGAGGAGACCTCCAACTAGAGATTAATACCAAATTGCAGAAATGACCTCAGGAACGGCCAAACAGGGCCCAAAAGTCATATGCTAGAGAAAAAACAGCCTCTTTAACAAATGGTGCTAGGAAAACAGTATCTGCATGCAGAAGACTGAAACCAGAACCCATCGCTGCGAGTTTGGGGCCATCCTGGGCTACCCAGTGAGTTAAAGGCCAGCCTGAAGTACACAGGGAGACTCTGTCTCAAAAACCAAAACAAAACAGAACAAAAAGGAAACCAGATTGCTATCTCTCACCCCGCTCATCAAGTCAAAGTGGATCAAAGACCTAGATATAAAACCACAAACTGAAACTGCTAGACAATAACATTGAGGAATGAATTGAATTCATAGACACAGGCAAAAGACTTCCTGAACGGGACTCCAACTGCACTGGAAATAATGTCAAGAATCAACAAACAGTATTAAATCAAATTAAAGAAACTTCTGTACAGCAAAGGAAACAACAGAGTAAAGCAACAACTTACAGAATAGGACAAAATCATGAGTAGCTATTCTTCTGAAAGAAGATGAATATCTAGAATATATAAAGAACTCAAAAAAAATTAACCTTCAAAGAACTCAGTCAAAAATGGGCAAATAAACTTTATAGACATTGCTCAAAAGTACAAATGGCTAATAAATATATAAAAAATGTTCAACATCTTCAGCCATCATGGAAATGTAAATCAAAACTACTTCAAGATTCCAGCTCATCCCAGTCAGAATGGCCATCATTAAGGATACAATAAAACAATAAATAATGGTGAGGATGCAGGAAAAGAGCTCTCTTACTTTTTGGTGGGAATGGAAATTAGTACAACCACCATGGAAATCAGCGTGGAGATTCCTAAAAGAACTAAAATTAAAAATATGATTTGATCTAGCTATACCACTCAGTATATTCCTGAAAGAATGAAATACAGCATGCTACAGGGATACACACATACCTACATTTAGTGGTATACTTCACAACAGATAAGATGTGGAAACAGCCTAGATGCCCATCAACAGATGATGGATAAAGGAAATGTGGTACATATAAAATGCAATATTATTTGACCGCAAAGAAGAAAGAAATTGCATCATCTGTAGGAAAACGAATGGAACTGGAAACCGTCACGTTACGTGAAATGAGCCAGGCTCAGAAAGTTAAATATTGCATGGTTTTGCCTATATGAGAAACCTAAAGGATAAATAAATGAATAAAATAAAGGACTGATGATCTTTAGGATTAATCCTCTGGGACTGAAAATGATCAAGACATGTTAAATGCAATGCATCAATTTCCTCTAAAAACCTCACTATTCTGTATCAGTAACACGGACTACTTAAAAAAAAATCTGACAATTCAGAGCAGAAGAAAAATTTGAAACATACCATATCCATGAGTTGAAAGACCCCAAGAAACAATTAAAGGGTACAAAACAGCCATCAAAATTCAAAAACATGAACTCAATGCTTTTTTAATTCAACGTAAGGGTTAGAAATCAAAGAACTTTTCGGAAAAGACAGTCATAGAAAACTGGAGAAAAAGAAGTTCTGCAGACCATAGCACCAACCCTAAAGATCCAACTGCCACCTAACGGGAATCCCAGAAACAAAATAGAAGAAAGGCAGACAAGTCATCAAACGCTAAGCCAAACAAAACCACCAGTCCGGAAGTGAGAAACCTGAACTCATTACCGCACTGAGGTCACAGGCCGGCAAGTACTCAGCCCCAGCACCGACACACGCACCCCAGGGCATTTCCTGCAAGACTTTAGAGTAACAGGAATAAGGAGAGGATTCTGAAAGCTTCCAGCGAGTAAAGAATTAGAAACCAGAGCAGTGGTGGACTTGAAAGACAGAAAAAAGGGCCAAGGGGGTAGGGTATGCATGAAAGTGAACAATTAACTTCAAATTTCTAAGAAAAATTTATTTTTCCACATAGACATGTTGTGTTAGTTTCCTGTGTAGCAATAGCAAAATACCACAGATTAGGCCGCTTGAAACAGCTTATTCAGTACTTTGAATGTTGATTTTTAAAACCAATTAAGGACTACAGTACATTTCAGAACTTTTTACCTGCAGCATTTAAACGGAAACTACTGCAGTCCACATCAAAGGGCAGGAGTGGCAAGGCTGCTCTTATGCCAGAGATCATGGCAAGGATGTGCAGCCTCACTCTCCTGATCAGACAGGTGTCACCAAGGCTGCCCCGACAACACAACCCTGCTTCCTGGAGCGGACTCTTCCTGCCCTGGAAGTTGCACGGCCCCGGCCCACGAGTGCCTCTGTGGGTTAGTCTCCAAGCCGCCACCAGGCGGCCTTGGGCACACAGAAGGCACTTCCGTCGCTGAATGGCTCACTTGTGTCCGTTCGGCTCCTGAGTTGGACAGCAGCCGATATCTATAACCGTTTAAAATCATCACGAAACTAAGGAATTCAAACTTTTAAATTAGACAGTGGATATATAGGAATTTTAATTAAAAAACCTGAAAACAAAACAAAACCTTGGAATTCTACAGCTTTTATTTCCATCTCACAAAGTAAAAACACCTGGTGCACTGACCCCCACATAAACCCTACCTGTTTGGCCTTTGGGTTCTTTCCAGTTGAACCTTTCTCATGGGTAGCTCCATCCACTCCTCTGAGAACACTGATGAAGTCTCTCTTGGAAACAGTCGACACCAACTTAGCACGCTTTCCAGTAGAGCCTCCTGCCTCTTTAAGCTTTTCATCAACGTTCTTTTGGTGTTTCTGAACAGCATTGAATAACTGCACCACACCCCTGCAGAAGACCCAGTGGCCAGAACAATTACATGTGAGAACAGACTGCAAGAGGCTGGGGTCAGGTTATTTTCTCTGACTAGAAAAGAGGCAAGCATTTAACAGTCATTAAAGTTAAAGCACTAAATGAATTGTTAAATGTATCTGAAAAATTAACACATATCTTACTAACAAAATAAAGTTCTGATTAGAGAACAGACATATGTAGATTGACATGTGATTTTTTAAACAGTTTTAGTCTTTCCAAATTAACTTTAATGCAATTAGAATTGGGAATTATTTTCAATATAAAAGTATTTTTCAAAATATATGTAACCGGTGAAGGCATTACAGTGGAATGAAAGCACAGACTTCAGTTACTTGTCAAAGCATCTGACTCCAGGAAAGATTTGCTGGATCTTAATTTCATTTGTAAATGGAAAAACATCTGAGTAACTTGCCATGGTATCTTGAACCCTTGTGCTATGAGAACAATTATAAAATCCTACTTTTAGGGCTAGTAGTGAAGCTCCGTGGAGGAGTGCTTGCCTAGATTATGTAGACCCTGGTTAGATCCCCAGCACCCCACCCTCTACACCCGACTTTTAAGGGTATGTATTTTAAGTCCGATGATCACCACCCACCGTGTCCGATACAGGAGCCATAAGACCCACGTGTCCACTGAGCACGCGATTGTGTATGACTGCTCTGACTGACATGTGCTACCAACGTAAAACACCCTGGATTTCAAAGATTTTACATGAAAAGAATTTTAAAATTTCACTAATAACATATCAATTACATGATGAAATATTTTGAATATACTGGATTATATATTATTGAAATAAATTTCACATCTTTCATTTTACTTTCTTCAAGAAGGCTACGAAGACATTTTAAATTACCTATGTGACTCACACTTTATTTCTGTTACAGTTCTACAATTCTATAATCTATGAATGCTTTTCTGTAGTAACCCTGAGAAGAGGCAATCTGCCATGGGCCCGAATATACCTGCACCTTGTCACTGGACTTTTCAAAAAACAAAAGGCTCTGACTGCTGCTTCCCGGGTAATTTCTCAGGGCTGTGCCAGCGGTAAATGCCCGACAGATAAAATAAGGACTCCTCCCTGCAAAGACGGCCTGTTACTAACCACATGCAACGGTTCCCCAGCACAGGACTCCTCTCCTGAAACACAAGCCATGCAGCACATGCGGTGTCTGCCCGGGGGCACCTGCATGCCCTAGGGGAGAGCCACGAGCTCCGCTACTGCTTAGTCCTGAGTAATAAAGTTCTCTGTCTCTGACCCAGAATGCTCTTGTCATCTACGAGCAGGCAAACAGCTTTAACGGGTTTGCGGCTGTGCACTTATAAGGAGAGAAGCATTCCAGCCCTTTCGGCGGGCCAGGACCAGGAGAAGCAAGTGAAGCGGCCAGGGTACAGATTTACTGTGTGCTGGCCCTACACTGCTCTAAGTCCTTTATTAATTCATGAACCACAAAGGCCAGATAAGATTATCCTTTGAACCAAGGAGCTGAGAGAGAAATGAAGTAGCAGGCCCAGCTGGAAGTCTGCTCCACCAGCCACGTCCTAAGTCACCTCATTGGGTTGGAAAGTGACTGAAAGATCTGCAGTGACTGAGAATCTACAGTTAATTCCACTAACTGGGATTGGTTTACCCTTTCAGTAAGGAGTAGTTCAAGTGTCAGCTCCTCTGTGAAGGCCTCCCAACGCTGCTAGACCATCTCCTGCTGTGTGTTCCTAACACAGGAGACCTCTACTCTCAGAGAGTGTAAGTGCTACAGTGGAGTGGGCAAGGAGCACTCCGCAGCCGCGGGGCCCTGGTATTTCTGCACACAGAGCATTGGATAAACGTTTGGGGGTAGGTGATTTTTAAAAAGCAGAGTGAAGGGAGTGCACAGAGCTGCCATGATGTGTGACATATTACCCCATCAACACAGTGCAAGGCAACAAAAACAATCACCTAGCGCTGTAAATTTAGACACCTGTCACGAGGGGTGAAGGGTGCAGCAGGAAGTCTGACTACACTGTCCCTGTGACTGTGAAAAATCACAGCAACTGCACATGGAAGCGCTCTGCATTCCTGCTCCTCAGGCCTCCAGAATCTTCAGTTGGTTTCAGTGTTGAACAACCGACTTAGAGAGCTATCACTTGGCTTCGAGAAAGCAGGGCCTAAGAATCAAATGTGATCAAAAACAGGTCACTATCAAAGCTTCAGTTCCCTTATTTTTGAAAAGCCAAAACCACTGTCTTACCTTGTTGCAATTCTCTGAAGAGTCCTCTCTGTGTCTTTGTCTTGGACAACATCTGGCTTTGCTCTACACATCATTTCCCATTCTCGCTTCTTATCAAGCTGTGTTATAAATATTGTTAGGTAAAAGAGTATTAGGCATTTCTGAAAGTGCAGCAAACTTTGATATGATACTCTGAGAAAGGACGGAGGTAATAAATCATTCTGGCTTAGTCTGTCACAGGGACTTTTAAAAACCACAGTTTTAGGGTTCAGCCCTGAGCGCCTGTGGCTGGCACCCAGCGTGACATGTGAGACGCACTGGGGCGTTTCTGCCAGCAGATCTGCCAGCAGGGCCCTGGAGGGCGGCCGGCACCTTCAGGAGGCAGTGCAGGGAGGGTGCAAGGGCAGGCACATGCCCGACCCAGGGGAACATGCCACGCCACCTGAGTTGGTAAACTACACGTTCAAGCACCATTTCTCTTTATTTTCAGAAAGCAGCTCCCTCAACAGTCAAAATTAAGAACATGTATGAGCTTTTAAAAGGAGAGCAACGTAGCCAGATAGCATGTAGTGGCTATTTTTCTTTGCATGAAATCATTTAAATCCCTTTCTCCTCTTGCGTCTGTCTGAACCAAATTCCTGCCATATACAGCACATCGTCACGAACTGTAGCAATGGTTTCTCTACTATTGTGTAAGAATAGAAGAGGAACTGGAAAATAAGAAAACCTCCCAGACAACAAACACAACCTAGCTCAAAATCATCTCTGGGTAGCATTCTGGTCCAGGCACGTGATCTGTCATACTGTTTGTTCAGGTCCCTTTCTTAGGCCAGCATCAGATAAATATCAAATACACTCACAGAACGAACTATTCACCTAGAAGCGACCTTAGACATCAAAAGCATCCGATGAGTAACAAAAACAACAATAGAAAAATGTCCCCGTGTACCTCTCTTGCTCTACTTACCTCTCATTCGGTGTTACTGAAAATGCCTAACAATAAAGCCAAATTCCTGCTCTCACTATACCCATTAACCTGATTCTGCTATAAACAAACAGACTCATCTCCAAATCAGGTGATGATTCATTTTAACAGCCCTGGGTTCATTATCAGACTATGCCAGAAATAAACCTCCCAGTAATTCCCACAGACTGGGCTGCAGGAATGCTTCGCCAAGAGCCCCTGTGGCTGCCGCGCTGTGTTTCTGGGACGGGCAGCGTGCGTTTGTTCATGTGGACAGTGCCACCCTACATGCAAAGCTCCGACCCACGGTGCGGCTACGGACTCATTCCTTCTGCTCGGCTTCAAAATGCTGGTCCTGCTCTCGCTGAACTTTGAGACTAGAGGTAATAAAGATTCTGATATTTTTAAAGCCTCTTCTAGCTTTTGCCAGATAATAAACAAAGATTCAAATCTTCAGTTGGAAAACCATCTATAAGATTTAGAGACGAAACTTATCTTAAAGTTCAAGAATATTAAATTAATAAGAGTACACATTGTATGTTGTGTTTCTAAGAACAATACTTAAAAAGTTCCATCTTTACGTAGGCTTTCACACAGAGCAACCAGCAATAAGAACAAAGGAAATATTCTTCTGGAAACAAGATAAAGGGATGGCAAACAAAAAAGGAAATATATGCCAACTGAAATCTATTTTCCTTTCATTTTTAACTCTAAAGCACTTCTTGGAAGTTAGTACTTCTATACTGCCAATACAATTATATGAAGATATTTTTCTTTCATTATGAAATCATACTTATTTTAGCAACCAAATATTTAAACACAAAGATACTTCATCAAGTACAAGGGCCATTAAAAATCTATGGTTTATTTCAATAATATGCAACAGCAAACTTATGTCCAACTTTTGGCTTAAATTAATAGATTTCATTAGTTTAACTTCTATCATCAGTGGTTTAACAAAAGCATAATGAATTCGAGTTTATTTAACACCCAAATAATCGGTTTTGAAAATGAGAACCAACCTGACTTGTGACATCTTCACTGATTTATATTAAAGGTTTTTAGCAAAACTGTCACATGCTTCTGTGAGTTCAGTGCCTAATGAAGACAGCACATGGATGGCTAAAAAGAACAATGTATTTAGATAAAGGAGTCACTGCCACATGTATAATTACTTGATTGAAAAGATAAACTTCTGCCAAGTTTACATTTTTACTGCTCTGCTTAGAAGACTAAAATGTCAAGGAGGTCAATAGAGAAATTTGGGCCAGGTTTCTGAATGTAACCTTGGCTGTCCACCCCACATAAAAAGCAACTTAAACCAGAATGTTAACTGGACAAACACTGCAAGGAACAATGTGGTACAGATGAGAACTAAACCTACTCTACAAGACCACTGGTAAGACGCACCTGTTTTTTTTTCTCTAGTCTTTCTTGCTTCAACTTCTCTTTTTCCTTTTCTAGCTCTTTGTTTTTGATGAGAATGGTGGGTTTACTTTTAGGAGTTTTTTTGTTAAGGATTTTAGCCATGGCATCTGCCCAGCCCGTATTGGTCCCGAGGCTGGGGTCTGCAGCATTTTCATTTTCTCTGTGACAGGGCTCAGCATCCTCCTCGTTGTCCGCTTCCACTGCTTCATCATCAGACAGCCCGCAGCTTCCCGCAGAACCTGAGAGTGAAACACAGGTTATACCCCAGCGCCCAGGCAGAGGCTGCCGAGCCCTGACAGGGCCCTGGCCCCTCAAGCAGCTCCCCTATCTCTAACTCCTGCAAAAGGGACTCTTCTCAGCCCTGCTGCGGCATACTGCTGGGGCACAAAGGCAGTAGCTCTCCCAGTGCAACCGGCCCCAAGGACCTAATCCAGCCACAGTGACAGGGAGGTCACAGTGACTTCCAGACCCAGGTGCCAGGCAGTAGAAACAAATCCTACAGCCTGGACCACCCTGTCCACCACCGTCAGGAGGCCAGGCACGCTGTACTCAGCACATGGACCTCAACTGTGGCACTGAACCACCTGAAAAATGTAACAAAGACAACATCAAAACAGCGACAAAAAACTTTAACTATTAAGAAATGGTACAGGGTTAGAAAAATTTCTCTAGTGGACTGGCCAAGATACATACAATTCTGGATTAGTGTGGAGAAAACACATAAGATAACATTTAGTTGCACTTCTGGGTTCCCGAATGAAAATGCCCAGTTCTGGGCTGAACATACACATTATAAGTGCACTGCTGAATTTCACCATGCAGAATTACTCCAGACAATACATACAGGTTACCACCAAACTAGTCCATCACGTAAGATTCAAATGGCCAGGGTCCCAAGACTGCAGAAAGAATAGCAAGATGGAGGCTCTGTAGGAAAATCAACTTGCTAAGTAGCTCTGGGTGCCTTAGGCTTCACTTCTCTGAAGTGAACTGTATTTAGCCAGAAAAAGCAGACCCTACAGGATCCAGTCTGTTTCCTAGGAAGTTAGGTTATTAGGAAATACTTCAAAGGAGAAACAGCTCAGCTCAGGAACTGGGAATGTTTCTTAGTAAGTAGAAGAGCTAACAAAGGCAGCTGAGAAGGAGATAACGAAGAAGACTCAGTGATGCAGTTGCCAGCCACTTAGTTACATCTTTGGGTAACAAATGTGCAGATTCCTTTGGCTGACTGCAGAGCAGATGGATCTCAAAAGATTAGTACGAAAAATGTCACTTCCTGAAACTATTCCTATCAAACTATTTTTACTACACAAAAAACACTGTTGGTAATTAAAACAATTTCCACATTAAGACCAAATATTAAGGCAAACTAAAGGAAAAGGCCCAGACATAAGCAGCTTTCCTGCTGTTCCCGGCTTCGTCTAATCCGCATGTCCTCGCCTTCACTGAAACGCATGGGACTGAGGAGAGCTGCCTCCCACTTCCTGTGCGCTGGTCCACACCCCGGGACCAAGGCCAAGCCAAGCTTCGTCACTGATTTCTGCGTCCACTTCCTCAGAAGCCACTGACTTGTTACCACTTCGAAATTATCTGTCCTTCAACTCCGAGCCTCAGTTTCTTCTTCAAATAACTTCAACAAAATATGTATGTTTTACCTTAAATAGCCTCTTTATCTTTTTATATCAGCTTACTGTTATAAACAAAATAAAAAGAAGAGAAGGTAGGGTAGGTTATTAACTTTGGAGTGATCCTTTCATCTCCTGACTTCAAACCTCGGAGGAGGGGGAACATCTGGTTACACCTGACTTTTAGCTAGACATTTTAACGCTCGTAGTTTAGGTATTCCCTTTGCATAACACAAGTTGACTATCCCAAATCTGAAAACTAAAATTTAAAAATGCTCCACAATCTGAAACCTTTTGAGCAAATGGAGCTCTAAAAAGTTTGTATTTCAGAGCATTCTGGAGTTTGATTTTTGGATGAGGGATGTTCACCCGGCAAAGACTATGCAAATATTCAAAATCTAAAAACCTCTGAAGTTTGAAACACTTTCCTGGCCCTATGGATTTCCATACTTCTATTTTTAAAGTGCTGAGAATCTGTGAAACAGAGACATAAAATAAGTACTGATACATTCAAATAAAAATTTATTTTTATTTGTTTTTTTGCGGTAGTGGGGATTGAACTCAGGACCTTGCACTTGCCAGGAGGGCATGGTGCCATTGAGCTAAATCCCCGGCCCTCAAATAAAAATTTATAACAATAGAAAACAGCAAATTAAAAAAAAAAAAAAAAGAAAACAGCAAATAAAAACATATCCAAAACTGAACTTTAAGAACACAAGGAAAAATGAAGTATCTTCAAAAAATTAACTGAACATTACATAAAATGAGAGTTAAACAAAGAAAAATAAGAATTTATATTCTTAAATGCATGATCTTAAAAGATGTCAATAGTATGAAAAGTATTAAAGGAAATGTTAAACGCAAGAAAACATCTCTTATTCTATTACTCTTATGGAGTGGCGTATTTCCTAATGAAGAAAAATACTTTTTAAATAGAAATTCATTTAGCATGTATTTAATGCACCCTGCATGCTGGGTCAATTTCAGAAGCCTAAAGCTGCGTGACTCCAGGCTTTGATGTACAAAGACAGATGACATAAAAACTATATTACCACGCACAATATTATGAAAAGATACCTAAATTTTTCCAAAGAAAAACTAGTGGCACTTTGATCCGATTAAAATTTGAGTGTCTACCAAATTTCAGAGCTATACAACTTTTCCCCAAGAAGCATGTCCTGGTACCAGAAGATGGATAAACAGTTCAGAGGATACAGCTGGTTGAAAAACAAATATATTAATATGTTTTAATCCTGATATTACAGAGATGCTAATATCAATTCTTTGGAAAAAGTGCTTGCTCTAGTAAGCATTTATCTAAGTGTAAAGAAGCACAATGGTTAAAAGTTTATAACTAGCTGGGTGATTAAAAGCAGAAAAATCTTTACCAGCCACTGGGGAAATGTCAAAACTACAACCCTGACATCTAGTGTTCAGTCCTGGTGTGCTGACACACACATTGCAGCACGCTTCATGTTTTTCAACTGCACTGTAAGGGCCACAAACACCTGACGATTATGCACGTCACGCCAGTGCACTCTGAAACCATGTCTGGTTTTTTTTAGGGCCCTTCTTACCCAGCTTGACTATAAAATGCATAACGGAGACACCATACATCCACGAAAAGTTTCCTAACATCATTTTATACAAGCTCCAGTCACCTCAAAAAAATAAAAAAATCCAGAAGAATTTGTGAAACTCATGGTTTTTATTTCATTGTGTTCTTAAAGAAGCTCTAGCTCAGAGATTTTCAATCAAGCATTTATGGCTGATGGAAATGAAAAAAATAAAATTAAAAGGCCGATGTAATGAGGTCTCTCAGCATACTGAAAACCAAGATCACTTCTAGGGTACCCAAGATTATCAGTATGCATACTAGAAAGTAGACCTGATCCCTAAAATTGTATAGTATCCTAAGACAAGACTTTTCTAATTTTCCACTACCCAATCTTCAATGGAAGTTGGGTGGTATATCCAGGCCTAGATGAAGGCCACCAGGCAAGGGAAAATGTCTTTGAAGTCCTGCATGTGATCTTACACCTTACTCCTGCATTCCATTTTAAAAGGCTGGCAAGTGAGGAAGGGATACTGAAGATGTTTATTGGAACTAATGGCAGGAAGTTCCAGTTATGGCAATGTTCCACATCAGAGTTACCCAAGAGCCACCAGCCACAAGTCTCCTGAGGGCTTCAAAGATGTCTAGCATGGCTGAGAAACTGAATTTTCACTTTGTTTAATTTTAATTACCCTAAATTTAAGCAGTCACTGGGTGGCTAGTGGCTACCACATGACAGAGCAGCGGGGCTAGACTCTGAGAGACTGAGGTAGACCACGGCACTTCTCAGCTCTGGCTTTCCCCAACCCCCAGCTCCCTTTCACACCTGCCACCTGTCCTTGATGCCAGAAAGAACTGCTGGCAGGAAAGTAGGCCATTTCCCTTAGACTCCAGAACTGCAGTGAAGCTTTAAGAAGATGCACAGCCCCCCCCCCCCTTTACTGAGCACCCATGAGTGACGAGCAAGGAAGTAAAAAATGAGAAACTTAAATCTAGGTTTCTCTCCTTGAGAAACTTGAGTTTGGTAGGGTGCATTTAAAAAGTAGCAGTAAAATCTACAGATGCTCTAAAGGAAAAGCAATGTGAGGGGTAGGGTGTGGGGTCATCTAGGAAAAGTCTCACAAAGAGGATTTTCAGGTTGTTTCTCAAAGACAAAGGAGGACTTTGAATGACAAAAGAAGAGAGGAGGTAAAACTGCGATTCCCAATCCAGGCCAATGGATCCAGGGCCAGGGTCACTGGGTGCCAAGCAACACTATCCTAGGGCTCAGTTTTCTCTATGAGAATACAAATTATTGGTATCACATTACTGCTGGCACAGCCAAGCACGAGAATGTTAAAGAAGATGAAATGCTGCACTCAGAAATGACAGCAAATGCACACTGAGGACTGGATGGTAAGACCTGAGTATAAAAAGCAGGATGGAAATTTCATGAAAATCTATTCACGATCGAAAACATGAACTATGCATTCACCTTAACATTACAGCCAAGCAGCTTAACAGTTGTATTCTATAGGTGTCTGCTTCCGCTCAGAAGCCTAGAGAAGGGAGGAACGGGGCAGAGAGAAGGGTGGGCAGGGAAGTGAGTAGAAGAGGAGAGGAGGAGGAGGGAAGGGAAGGCAAGATGAAAGGAAGAGAAGAGAGGAGAGGACAGGAATCCGGGAGCAGCACCTCCCACCAGGCCCACGACCTCTAGGCTGCAGGGCACAAGCACTAGCCACGACTAGGTACGCTGCACACTGCTGAGGTTTCCTTCTGTTGTTTTTCCTCAGACCTTCCTTTGGAAGCTGGCAACTGAATAGCGAATAACTAGGGTTCTTTTTCCAGGCAACTTGGCCCGAGTGATTCTGACAGTCTCTCTATGCTGCACAGGCTGGTCTCATAGGATATGCCCAAGCAGTGGGGCTACTTCACACTCCTAAGTAGCTGGGACCGCAGCCACATGCCGCCCCACCCATCTAATGCAATACATGTTTAAGGGACGTATTTGGAGCTATCAATTAGTAAGAGTATAAAGTCTTCCCCAAGACATTTAAATACTTCATTTTATTTTAAAATT